GAAGAGCAAATACTGGAACAACAGGGTGCATTACAGCAGCAGGCTGAACTTCAGCAACAGCAGCAACAGCAGCAGGAACAATATACAGGTTACTTTCCTGAGGCTGATGAAGATACTTTTGTGCCACCGCCAGACTTGAATGTTCCACCTGGGATGATTGTGGTAGGTATTGACATTATCTTGCTTTTTAAGAATATCCTGTTAGTGTTGTGCATTAATGCTCTTAGAATCAGACTTACTGCATAGAGGGAAGAATTATACATAATGCCTGTTTATTTTTGAATCACATATCTTCATTTCTTACTTACTTTTATCTCATGGAAATCTTTTCTTTTTATAGCCTGAGACTGTGAAGCAAAATAAGATCATAGTGAAAACATCCAAGTTCATTGTGACACAAGGTGGGCAAATGGAGATTGTAATCAAGACAAAGCAAGCTGGAAACCCAATGTTTAGTTTTCTCTCCTTTGACAACCCATTAAATGCCTACTACAAACATATGGTATCCATGATAAAAAGTGGCAGGTAAGCCGAGATTTTATAGAATTAAACTATTCATCTTTTTTCTATATTTAAGTGAGATTATTTTGCTGTTTGTATGATTACATGAAATATAGTTCCAATGTAGAAAAGCAAAATAATGGAAAGATTAAGAATCGTGCAGTATACAGCAAGTAAATGTGATTGTTCTAAATACACTGTTTTACGTAATGAAAAACAAATTCAGTGCCTTCTCTACAAAATTCCCCAGGTATCGGCCAAGTGAGGAAGCTGAGTCAGGAAGAAATAGGAAAGAGAGTGAGGGAAGTGAAGGGCAGTACCTGCATCCAAGCCTTTCAGCTGGCATAAAGCCTGATCTTGCACCTGGAACACCCACTGCCATTCACAAGCCAACAGCTGATTGTGCATATTCAAAACTGATACACAAGATCAAAGAAAAACAGAAAGGCACTGTGGTTGTAGAGGGTAAAGACTCACCAGCACCAGTACTGGTTGCTTCATCAACGCCAGTATCTGCAGCCTCGGCAGAGGTTGGAGATCCACTGAAGAAAAAGAAATTACAGACAGACATCACACCAGTAGGGTCTCCCAAGATCACTAGCTTGGTTGACTATCCATCATTCAATCAGACAGCCGAACATAATTCAGATGATGATGACAACGATTCAGAGATGGATGAAAATGAACGTTGCCTAAGTAAAGAGATGGACTGTGGAGACACAGAGTATAGTAGCATCAAATGGCCCCCACCAGAAGTGCAAATGGTCATTGACAAGATGGCCAGCTACATCATCAAGAATGGTGCTGATTTTGAAGCCATGGTCAGAAGTCGAGGTATGTGATTTGACTTTTTTTCCCTATGTAAAGTATATGATTTTGAGATTTTCTATATTGGTCAAAACTAAAAGTTGTGGTATTGATATATGGTTAAGGTAGCATGACAGGCAAACATATATTAATAAAGATAAGAGAAATGTCTGGGATATATTGTATATTTTCATCTAGGAAGCAGTCCATGCAAAAAGACTTGTATTCTTTCTATCTTTCATAAATAGGAAACACATATGCACACATAAGGGAGAAGCAAACAGATAATGAGACAGCCAGAAGAATTAGTAGAGGTTCTTGAACAAACAGAAATGTAATATTAAGACCAAAATTCAATATTTGTTATTAGTAGTGTCATCATCAGGTGTCCAATTCACATTAAACTACTAAACTCAATTTCTTTTGAAGAAGCTGAAAAAGATGTCTTGAATTTTTTTGTGAAACTCCATTGCTAGGCATGGCCAAGAAACTATTTATAATTCTCAAAATACATATGTATGAACCCCATTTGTAAGAACATATCTCAAATAGCTTTTATTTAATTACAGTATGTTTTTTGTTCATATTCATTGTGTATTGATATGGTTTCCTTTGATCTTATTGTATGTCTTATTTTGTCTTTGCACAGATGACCCTAGGTTTGATTTTATGAAGAAGGACCATGAGTACTATCCCTATTACCGGTGTAAGATTCGTCTCTATAATGAGGTGTATGGAGATATATTCAAGGAGGGTGGAGAGGTGAGGCAGCAGATTGAAATACCGATTTCTTTTGTTTTTGTATATGATAATTTGTTTACTGCACAGTAACTTCAGAGAGGTAAATTGTATTATACTTATTTACAAAAATGATGAATGTAATATGTATAATTAAATAATTAAAGATAGTGAGAAGAAATACAAGCATGTATAGAAAAGTACACTACTGTTTTAAACCTCATCTCTGTGTATTTTTCAGGACAAGAGCAGATCAGGTAGTAGTGAAGGAGGAGCAGGGAGCAGCAGCAGCAAGAAGGACAAGCGAGGGAACAATAAACAACCCTCGACCATCAGCTTCTCAATCAAGTCCCGGGAACAGGAGGTCAACCTGGATCGCCACTCTACCTTCCCTGTGGAATCATCCTCCACAGATGATGAGGACATGGAGGAGGAAGAGAGAGAGAGAAGACGGATGGAGAGGGAAGAAAGGAGGAGGAAGAGAAAACTGAAGGAGAAAGAAGAAAGGGAGAGGAGGGAGAGAGAAGAGAGAGAGAGAAGAGAAAAAGAGGAGAAGGAGAGGTTGATTGAGAAACCTGATGAGTCCACTGATGCATCAGATGATAATGAAGATGTTTATGATATCTTCAAGTATGGTAATTATTATCAAAGTTTGATTATTCTTGGTATGATTGGCTTTTATGTCAGTCTGTATCCGCAGACAAATACAACTTTTATGACTAATATATAAATTCTAGCATTTTGATAACTTCATTTTGGTTCTAAGTTGAATTTCAGTTGAATGTGTTCTAAGCAGTGATGGATATCAAAGCTTAAGTGGTTCAAATAAGAGGATAGAATATTGCAATCTCTAAAATTGAATATTCAATTGTTCTGACGTAATTTCATGAATTGTAAATAAACTTTTTACTGTGAAAAGTAAAATGTCAAAGTAAATGTATTTTTTCCATCTAATCATTATTATTTTATGATTTTATTTATTTGCTTTACTCATATTATGACATTGAGTTATTATATAATTGCTAGAATAGTATGATTGGTATGATTTTTTAAAGAACATTTGATGATTAAGCAGAATTTTTGAGAAAGTTTCCAGTCTTTCACATGAATTATTTGTTACATATATTGATCGCTTTCTCCCAACTTTCCTTGCAGCACAAGAAATGGGCAAGAGCACTGATGCAGAAGAACCACAAAAGCCAAACAAAATTAGTGTTGAGTCCGAGAAGAAGGACTCTGACTCTTTGTCTGCCACCAATGTGGTGCTTGAGGATACCCACCCCTTCTGCCAACCTGAGAGAAAGCAACAAGAAAGGAGAAAAAAAGCAGCCATGTTCCTGTCTCGGCTCAAAAAAGGTGGTGGAGAGGAGGAAGCTGTCAGCCAGCCAGCATATGGTGAGTATGGGTTTGTGTGGTCTGTGTAGAAGTGAAAAAAATGAAATTGTGGTACTTCAGTCCTTTTTTATTGGAATAAAAAAGAGAGTAAGACAAGTAGGTAGTAGTGCGTATTCATTGAATTGCTTGCAAAGTCCATATTTTGTTACTCAAGAAAAATTGAAAATAACATTTTTTTATGTATATTTACAACCCAATAACACCCACACCTTTTTTTTTCAACATGAGTAATTCATTGTTATTAATTGAAAGCCAAATGATCTAAGAAAAAAAAGTCATAGTCCTATATTTGATATCTCTAACAAAATTGTTACTTCACTATTTATATACTTTTCCTTTATTTAGACATTGGAGAGCAATTATCATAGGGGTACCTTGTTAGGGCTTGAAACCATACCGAAATATATTTTTTGTATTGATCTTTTTTAGGACTTTGTTCTAACAGTAACACCTTTAACAGTAAATTTATCCTTTGAGTATTTTACCAATTGCCACGTGACGTACCTTATTTTGCAGGCCCACAACTGCCCCCTGAGATTGCTGCTCAGATCCTGAATTCAGCGTCTCAGTCCCCGCGGTCTTCCGTTACTAGCCCCAGGAGGTCGACACCCTCAAGGTCACGCTCTCACTCTGTCAGCCCTGGCCCAGGGATCCCCATGCCTCCTAGAGAAGCTCCGGCACCCCCTCCGCCACCCCCACCTACTCTATCTCCTGTACAGTCTGGACACACAGACATGTTTGATCCTTTCACATACAAGGCTGGAACGGCAGAGGCATCCTTGGCACTAGCATATAAAAATGATAGGTAAGGAAAAGTGGTTTTGAGTTTTCCCTTGTTTGAGTTGGATGTAGTGCAAAGCAAATTATAGGTTTCAAAATGTTTTTTTAGGTTAAAATGGAGAAATGAATCAATAGTTTGAAAACAATTACTGAGATGAGAATTTGATGATAATAAACATAATTCTTATTTTAAAGAAAAAGGAACAAAGATTTGGTTTAGAGATTCTGAAAACTTAACTTCAGCATATCAAATGGTATTTTGCTTTTTCCTTTTTCAGAACATCTGCTTTGGAGTCATGTATAGCTTCTGGTACAGATTACATAGATCCTAGCAAGTCGACTGGGCTACAGGAATCTTCTGTTCTGTCGGGTATGTACCCCTGTGATATACTTACACTGCCTTCTCCTCAGGCCTCTGGTGTGCGTCTAGGGTAACTTAATACTCGGCAAGAAAGGAGCAAGAAATTTTCCTGAACAGTAGTGAAAAGTAGTTTCAGGACAAAACAAAAAGTTAATTCATGTTCAGGAATATTTTTTCGCTCTGAATATCAATTTCAGTATGATCTTGCTGAAGAACATTTTCAAAATTTTAAGGATTTAGATATTTTGAATTTTTTACAGCTTGGCTGCAGCAAAAGACCCCACAAAAATTCATTCACATATTTATACCGACTCCAAGACCATTTATCAATTGTTTGCAGTGGCATGCCAAAGAGAAATTTGCTGCAGGCAAGCATTTCATGGGGCAAGTTGCCCTCCTGTACTGCAGTTATCTATGGTCTTTTGACTTGTTGCAGATGTGTTGCAGTGGCTCTCTGCTGTTGATATTTCATCGAGGGCAGCCGTGCAGGTGTAGGTACGAATCGCCAACGGAGAACTACTTTTATTCTTCCTGTGGCTAGTGCAGTGGCTGTCCATGCCTAGTGCTCTAGTTACTGACAGGATTAGCCTCATTTTATAACAAGCCTTGTTTTTATTGCGGACCTTTTTTGCGAGGTGTCTTATGAATTTTTAAGTGAGCCTCCCCTCTTATTTACTCGTGCCATGGAATGAAAAGTAGCTTGGCAACACATTGCCTAGCAGGGAGACAAAGACTTCGGGATTATTGGGCATGGTGATAGTGACCAATTTATAGAAGGGGGATTATTGTGTATAGTGACAACCTCCCATTCTCCCGTTTCTACCCATCTCTTCCCTTTATCATGTCAGTGTTCAGGTTCCTTGGGGTCGCCACCGTGTGATGTCTGCTGGCCGGGTAAGTGCAGGTAAGTAATCTCCTAGTCAGATAGAGCGCGTGTCAGCTATTAAGAAAATGGAGGACAGGAACTTTGATTTCTCAAAAGACCAAAAATATTACAATTTTTTTTACGTAGATATTGGTACTCCAGGTTGGTGTTTGGTAAAGACTTTTCTCTTTACTTTTTTTTATCTTACAGTTTTTATTTGTTTTATTTTGGGTTATATGATGATGGTCCTGTAATATAAAGAAAATTCTGTTATTGGTCTCTTGAGAATGTGTCAGAAATATGTGTGATTGTATTGTCAAGTCTCTAACAGTTTTATATGATTTTTGCTTCTTGAAGTCTATTATTATCAGTGTCTAGTGTATGCAAGCAGTATGGGAAGTTGGATACTTGCAAGAGCAGTGGTGTGAGAGAAATGTCTTTTTTTTAAATATACTTTTATTTTATTGTAATAGATGATGGTAAACAAATGCTCATGCAGTTGTCTGTTCACAGGAGCAAGTGAGGAGGGTCGTAGAAGCCAAAGTATAGAGATGAGGAGAAGCAAATCCCGGCAAGTAGAGGCATCTCACCGGGAGAAGTAAGTGATTTTTCATTAGTTTATTTCCAAGAGTGTGTTCTCTTGAGGTCCAATGGTTTTTTCACACTAAAGAAATCTTGTACAGACCAAAAGATTTGTTGATGAATTCTTTTCCTGACTAAGGGATATATATTACTGACATTTGCCTCCATAAAGAAAAGAAGAGTAATGCTAATAGATTTATTTATTTTGTTAACATAAGAGATTTTGCTGACTTTTCTCTTCCTCTTCAGAACAAGAAGTCGCAAGAAGCAGCGCCGTGGAAGATCGGAGAGTCGTTCCCCAAGCAGTCGGCGGGATCGCAAGAAACGCAAAAGATCGAGATCACGGTCTCGCCGTCATAAGAAACGACGATCACGTTCAAGATCACACTCAAAAACTCATAGGTTAGTGTAACACTTACAGGAATTTCTCCCTCTCCCTCTCTTCCTCTCTCTTCCTCCCAAGGGAAGGAAGAACAGGGGCTGCATTAATACATTGTTTTTATTCTGTTTCAGTCAACATTGTATGATACTGCTAAGTTTGAGAGCTAGCAGGTGCATGGCTTGTAGTCCAGGATGCACATGAACACTTGTGCAGTTACAAGATTCTATGGCTCCCATTTACAGTGTTATTTTCTCTTTTTCTACAGAAGAGTTTTTAGCTTACTTGCCATTTTTCAATGTCCATATTTGTCTTTTAATTTGCTTTATCCAGATGGTAATAGACTGTTTTCCTTGCACAGGCCATATCATCTCTTTAGGCAATACATAACTCAATGCAAGAAAAAGGATGCTGAGCATAGAAATAGCATCCTCGGAGCTGGCACATGTTTACTGCATTACACATTTACTTATCAATGTAAATAATGCAAACTCCCTTTCTAAATACCAGATGAGTCTAGCCACCAACCAGAAGGTTTGACAAGTCTTTCCCATCATCCTGGCCTTCAGGCAAAATGTTTGTGTTGGCATTTTCGTGTCACCCAGGCCCTCAGGCAAAATTTCTTATGACAGGATGTTCATGTCATCTGCCCCTCGAGCCAGATTTTTCCATGATCACATCATCTGGATTGTAGGGGTTAGATCCAACTTTTTTAGTATGGCCCTTAGATGTGACATGTGGCTTGTCATTTTAAACACTATGGTTTCACTTAAGAGATAGTCATAAGGTATTGCACAAACCATTTGTATGTGTATTTGGAAGAAGGCTTATAAAGGCATGCTTGAGAAAAATATGGCTATGGGAAAAGAGGAAATTGGAAGATAAACAAATAATTCAAGAAAGACCAAGATGTTCATAGGTTTTTAATTATGTTTTTTCTGCTTTTAGAGGGATTTCTGCTGATGGGATGAAAATGAGGAAGACATTATATAGCAACACAAGGTTGAGAATAGAGCCTGTTTTTTGCTTATTGTACAACCTGTAGCCAACATGCTAAATCATAGATAATATCTTTTAGAAGCGAGTAGTGATGCATGATTGATGGCAAAGTTGCTCTATGCATCAAACATGCTTGCAATTTCAAGACTGTTGGATAAATTTCATACTGAATATATAAGAGTTTGATTATAGTGACATTATTGGTTTACATGAATTATTAATGGAGTGGTTGATCTTGGGTGTTGTGGATGTGTGAAAGATTTAGAACGACTGCTGTAAAGTGTTCATGGGGACAACACACACAAGGTACCATCACAGTATTATAGTAACATAAAAACTAAATTGCATAGAATAGAAAGTCACTTGACAAATCTATGGGCTGATTAATATTATTAAAAAAGTTGGATATTTGAGACACCCTCACCAGCACACACAGTTTTGTGATGAAAAGGTAAACATATAAGAGCTTTACTACAGGTTATAGTTACTCTAATCACAGTCTTAATTCTAATTATTTTCCTTCAGCCGGTCTTCCCACAAGAAGAAGCGCAGAAAGCACAGCTCACGCCATGAGAGAGATAGGGGAGAGAGGCGAAGCAAGAAGTCAAGAAGACGTAGTATATCCTCATCATCTTCCTATTCTTCTGAACGTTCTTACTCCTCATCCAGGTCTTCATCAGAGTCTGAGGATGAGGTTCAAGTCATGTAAGTGGTCTGATTTATGTGGTGTGAATAATATAGTGTAGTATCATGGTTGTGTGTGTGTTGGGGGTGCATCCCCCCCTCTCTCTCTCTTCATTCTTGTCTTCCTCCCCCTCCTCTCTCTCTTCCCTCCCCCTTCCCCTCCACTCTCTCTTCCCTCCCCCTTCCCCTCCACTCTCTCTTCCCTCCCCCTCCCCCTCCTCTCTCTCTTCCCTCCCCCTTCCTCTCCTCTCTCTCTTCCCTCCCCCTTCCTCTCCTCTCTCTCTTCCCTCCCCCTTCCTCTCCTCTCTCTCTTCCCTCCCCCTTCCTCTCCTCTCTCTCTCTTCCCTCCCCCTTCCCCTCCACTCTCTCTTCCCTCCCCCTTCTTCTCCTCTCTCTCTTCCCTCCCCCTTCCTCTCCTCTCTCTCTTCCCTCCCCCTTCCTCTCCTCTCTCTCTTCCCTCCCCCTTCCTCTCCTCTCTCTCTTCCCTCCCCCTTCCTCTCCTCTCTCTCTTCCCTCCCCCTTCCCCTCCTCATTCTCTTCCCTCCCCTTTCCTCTCCTCTCTCTCTTCCCTCCCCCTTCCTCTCCTCTCTCTCTTCCCTCCCCCTTCCCCTCCTCTCTCTCTTCCCTCCCCCTTCCTCTCTCTCTCTTCCCTCCCCCTTCCTCTCCTCTCTCTCTTCCCTCCCCCTTCCTCTCCTCTCTCTCTTCCCTCCCCCTTCCCCTCCACTCTCTCTTCCCTCCCCCTTCCTCTCCTCTCTCTCTTCCCTCCCCCTTCCTCTCCTCTCTCTCTTCCCTCCCCCTTCCTCTCCTCTCTCTCTTCCCTCCCCCTTCCTCTCCTCTCTCTCTTCCCTCCCCCTTCCTCTCCTCTCTCTCTTCCCTCCCCCTTCCTCTCCTCTCTCTCTTCCCTCCCCCTTCCTCTCCTCTCTCTCTTCCCTCCCCCTTCCTCTCCTCTCTCTCTTCCCTCCCCCTTCCCCTCCTCATTCTCTTCCCTCCCCCTTCCTCTCCTCTCTCTCTTCCCTCCTCCTTCCTCTCCTCTTTCTCTTCCCTCCCCCTTCCTCTCCTCTCTCTCTTCCCTCCTCCTTCCTCTCCTCATTCTCTTCCCTCCTCCTTCCTCTCCTCATTCTCTTCCCTCCCCCTTCCTCTCCTCTCTCTCTTCCCTCCTCCTTCCTCTCCTCATTCTCTTCCCTCCTCCTTCCTCTCCTCATTCTCTTCCCTCCTCCTTCCTCTCCTCATTCTCTTCCCTCCTCCTTCCTCTCCTCATTCTCTTCCCTCCTCCTTCCTCTCCTCATTCTCTTCCCTCCTCCTTCCTCTCCTCATTCTCTTCCCTCCTCCTTCCTCTCCTCATTCTCTTCCCTCCTCCTTCCCCTCCTCATTTTCTTCCCTCCCCCTTCCCCTCCTATCTCTCTTCCCCCCCACCCTCCCACCCCTCTCTCTCTCTCTCTCTCTCTCTCTCTCTCTCTCTCTCTCTCTCTCTCTCTCTCTCTCTCTCTCTCTCTCTCTCTCTCTCTCTCTCTCCTTCTCTCTCTCCTTCTCTCTCTCCCTCTCTCCCTCTCCCTCTCTCCCTCTCCCTCTCTCCCTCTCCCTCTCCCTCTCCCTCTCCCTCTCTCCCCCTCTCCCTCTCCCTCTCCCTCTCCCTCTCCCTCTCCCTCTCTCCCCCTGCCCCTCTCCCTCTCCCTCTCCCCCTCCCCCTCCCCCTCCCCCTCCCCCCTCCCCCTCTTCCCCCCCTGCCCCTCTCTCTCTCCCTCTCCCTCTATCCTTTCTTGTCCTCCCCCCCCTCCTCTTTAATCCCCAGCTCTTCCCTGACCCCTTCTGTGCCAGTCTAGTGAGCTAAGTTAGAATTGTTGTAACATATTGTGTAGTAATAATGGCTTGAATGATAGTGCTTTTGATCAGTGCATGTTTGTTGTTTATTCATAGATTTATTTATTATTTCTAAAGTCATTGGCGATGAAAAGTAAGATAGTAATAGTGTTTTGTATATATTCCAGTGATTCCCCAGCACATAGCAAGAGAGGGTCACGTGCCTCAAGCGAGGTCAGTGTTGGCGCTTCTGATCTATCCCTTGTTGGGTAAGTTTATCTTTTCAAATGTTGTTTCACTTGTTTTTTAAAATATAATAAATTAAGATATAATAAATATAATATAATAAATATAATATAACAATAAAAATCTCCCTCCTCCTTCTTCTCCTTCTCCTTCTCCTCCTTCTCCTTCTTCTTCTCCTTCTCCTTCTTCTCCTTCTTCTCCTTCTTCTTCTCCTTCTCCTCCTTCTTCTTCTCCTTCTACTCCTTCTCCTCCTTCTTCTCCTTCTCCTCCTTCTCCTCCTTCTCCTCCTTCTCCTTCTTCTCCTCCTTCTCCTCCTTCTCCTCCTTCTCCTCCTCCTTCTCCTCCTCCTTCTCCTCCTCCTTCTCCTCCTCCTTCTCCTCCTTCTCCTCCTTCTCCTCCTTCTCCTCCTCCTTCTCCTCCTCCTTCTCCTTCTTCTCCTTCTCCTTCTCCTTCTCCTCCTTCTCCTCCTTCTCCTCCTTCTCCTCCTCCTCCTTCTTCTCCTTCTTCTCCTTCTTCTCCTTCTTCTCCTTCTCCTTCTCCTTCTCCTCTGGCATCTCATGTTAGAGAGTCAAAAAATAACCAAAAACATCACCCAAATGAAAGGAACTCAAGAATATCAGCATTACTTTATGTATAAATGTAGATAAAAAAGAAATGTTCAAAGAGAAACTTAAACTTCTTGGAAATAATGTCCAAAAGAATTACTAGTGATAATCAAAATAATTCTAGAAGCATCACTTATAGTAAAAATGAAGTCTTGTAATGCCTACATGCATTCATACACTCTTAGTGCATACTTCACACATATATGTAGCGTTTTTAACTATCAGTTAAGACAGGTGATACTTAGCCATAGAAATGTTTGTATATTCCAAAAGGCTGAATAAGGCTGAAATAGAGAGAGGATGTTTCCATTTTTAATCTCAATCCTTCACAACAGCGCTATGGCAAGAATACCTGAAGAGAGTATGTCTGGCCCCTCAACCCCACTACCACCGTTGCACTCTTCGGCTCTGCGTCTAGCATCTGCTGCTGATGATAAAATGGCGACTGTAGAGGAAGAAGCTATGATAGAGGCAACTGGAAATGGAAGTGCAGCAAGTAGTGGAGAAGGAGAGATAAAGGAGGAAAAGAAGGAGGAGAAGAAGCCATTGTTTAATCCCCAGAGTAGTGCTGCCATGGCGAAAATTGCAATGGTTAGTATGTTTTTTTTAATTATTTCTTTTTCTTGAGAAATTTGGCTTTGGCAATTGAAATATTTCTGAAACTTAATTTCTTTGTGAATAGTAATTTATTTATATATATATATATTACAATGATTATATACCAGTATATATTTGTCTCTGGTAATCCTAGCTGTGGGTACAGGTCTCTAGGATTGTTTAGGGCATATATATATATTTTTATCTAATATCAAACATTCATACTGTTTCTAACTTCTATTGCAGGGATTACGGGCAAAAGTTCATGCACTGCTCGAAAAGGAGAGCAAACTTTGAAGAAATGCAAATAAAAAAAGAGAAAAAAAAACAATCAATATTTTTGTCCATGGGAATTGTGATATGTGATTTTGATCTTTTGAAATGTGTATTTCAATTGGCCTGATATTGTTATTGTCTAGATTATATGCTTTGCAAGAATAAAGTTTTCAAACATTATGTGAAACATTTTGGATATGGAAACATTTGGAATGACAAAGAGTTGCTGTGGATCTGTAAACTTCTGTAGACAGCATGTCAGTACTTTCTATTGTAGTAGTTTTTTGTAAGTAATTTGTGTGAGTATTCAAGTCTTTCACTTATTTCAGCGGTGGAATTAATGTTTATATTTAATAATACTTTGTTTTATTTACCTTGTAAACTGTTGGTATGTACAGTGGAAGATATTGCTGCAAAGATTGACCAAGTAACTGATGACAACATAGACACCCAGATAATT